TTTCATATCTTTAGCTTCCCTCCCTAAACTACAACTTATATCCCTAGGTTCACCCATCCATTTGCAAATACATGCCATTGCCAAAGAAGGGAAAGGTATAGATGTTTTAGCAAAATTCCACTTCTGACAGAAGTATATTATTTTAATAACAGCTAGCAAGTAGCACTATTTTATAAAACAATGAACTGATTCTACCCACCCATAAACTTAGTTCCATTATGGTCCTCACATAAAAGGAAGTTACACTAATTGTTGAAACAAAATTGCATATCCCGAAACATTACCTAATAAAATTCCACAGCCGTACAATGTTGATTTGAACCCAGAAGAAGTTAATTTTAGCGTAGCCTGATCAAAGTAAAATTCCTTTACTGATAATACTATGCAAGTGTTTTATGTGCCACAAGCCTTCTTCCTAATTTGTATTTTCTATGTGCATACTGAGCATTCACAACGTAAGTGGCATTGTTTCAAAGAGCACAAAAGATATATACACTTATATAACATTTCAAGTTAGAAACTAAGATAACTACTATTCAACGTAGTACTGGAAGTCCTAGCCAGAGCTATCAGGCAAGAGAAATAAAAGGCATCCAAATTGGAAAAGTAAGTCAAATTATCTCTGTTCACTGACAATATGATTGTATACCTAGAAAACCCTAAAGACTCCTCTAGAAAACTCCTCGACCTGATTAACAACTTCAGTAAAGTCTCAGGATACAAAATCAATGTACAAAAATCGGTAGCATTTCTATAAATAATAATATCCAAGCCAAGAACCAAATTAAGAACCCAATCCCATTTACAATAGCCACAAAAAAAAACAGCAAACTATCTAGGAATACATTTAACCAAGTGAAAGATCTCTACAAGGAGAACTACAAAACACTGATGAAAGAAACTGTAGATGACACAAACAAATGGAAAAATATTTCATGCTCATGGATTGGAAGAACTAATATGGTTAAAATAACCACTTGCTCAAGCAATCTACAAATTCAATGCAATCCTTATTAATTTACCAGCCTCATTTTTCACAGAATTAGGAAAAACAATCCTAAAGTTTTGGACCCAAAAAAAGCCCAAATAGCCAAAGAACTCCTAAGCAAAAAGAACAAAGTCAGAGACATTATACTGCCTGATTTTGAATTATACTATAAGGCTATAGTAACTAAAACAACAAGGTCCTGGTACAAAAACAGACCCAGAGATTAATGATACAGTATAGGGTTCTCTAACCCAGAAATAAAGCTACAGCCAACTGATTTTCAATTAAAGTCAACAAAAATAAGCAATGGGAAACAAGACACCCTATTCAATAAATGAAGCTGGGAAAACTGGCTAGCCATAGGCCGAAGATTGAAACTAAATTCCTATCTCTTAACATATACAAAATTACCTACAGATGGATTAAAGACCTAAATGTAAAACCATAAAACTAAAACTATAAAAATCCTAAAAGAAAACCTAGGAAAATCCCTTATGGACATTGGCTTAGGCAAATAAGCTTGAGTTTCAAAAAACTGTCAAGGAACTAAGAGCAGGAAGGACAATATGAACTTTACCAAAAGTAAGCAAGATGAAATCCTTGAGATATATTCTATAAATACAGAGGAAATAAAGATAACAAATGAGGGTTATATAAATTTTTTAAACAAAATATAAATTCTCCACTTTAAAAAAAGTTTAAGTGCCAAATGACAGTGGAAATAAAAACAAGAATAAGTAGACATAGAATAATGTTTAAAAGGATAGCATAAAGTATTTTCATTCTTGTAAATCAATTAATTAATGAGATAATCAGTCTGTTTTCTCCTTTTGGCTTAATAGAGTTACAGAATACACCATAGAACTCCTAAGAAAGAGAATACACTTTCTTCAACTGTGCATCAACTGCTAACTAGCTTATTGAAACCTTAAAATTACTTTTATAAACCTGAAAATCTACCTGAATGTTTTTTGTTTTATTTTGTTTGGAAAGATGATAGAGGCCAATTCGTAGTGGGACAAGGCCAGGAAAGTTCATCTGTTTAGTTCTAACCTAGAGAAGATCCTTGATCCTTCACTGACTCAATGAATAAAGCCCTGGACAAAAGACTGGTAGTCATCTGCTGCCTATTGCTAATTCTACTGACCAAACCTTGATGATGTGGTGGTGCCGAGGCAGCAGATTCTCTTGAATTCACAAGCATATGAATTTTAAAACAGCTTGGTTTTTGTGATACTCCTCTCTTCTGCTTCCTGTGGGCTAAGCCTTCCCAAGATTTACTTCCTCCTGTCAGCCCCTGAAGAGGAAAGGGATCCTCTCAGATTTGATCCTGAGCCATTTTCCTCATTCTATTCTCTATTTGAGATTAATACATTACTGTCATCACCTGCTCTGGCATCCTTGCTAGCAGGAGCAGATAGGTCAATGAAGAATCAGCCAGCATATCTTTCTTGGAGAACTCTTTATCCCTGTGACTTCAACTGGCAAGAGGATAAAAGAGTTTCAGTCTCTTTTCATCATCTCTTTTCAGTTCTGGTATCCTGCCAGAGTTCCAACTCCACATGTCTAACTCCACCACAACATTCTTCCACGATCTGAAACTAAACATTCCTACACCTAAAATCACAATTATTCTCTGAGTAGATTTTCCCCCTCAATACCTCTACTTGTCATCGAAATCTGGAAGTTAATCTTGTTCTGTTTGTTCACTTGAACCAGTTACCAACCATGTCATGCAACTTTCCTTCACAAAGTCTCTCTTCATCCCATATTTTCTACATCACTTTATACTGAAATTTACTAATCTAAATGGTCTTTCAGTCTCCTCTGTCTCTCCCTCTTCTAATCTATGCTACTATATTAATTCTCATAAAACAACACATTTTATACATCTGGGACTCCTCGAGCAGAATATTGAAATTGAAATTCTCTGGGCTTTTTGTCTTTTTTTTTTCTGATGAACTTCATAGCAACATATGAGCAGGCAGGTAAGTAGGATCACGGAGGACTTTAAATGTTAAAGTCCTCTTTAATCTTATTTCCCCAATGAGAACACACTCATTGCTCTTCCAATTGGTCTCAGACATTACAGTCTCCAGAAGCTTGCTTGTGTTTTTCCTCCACAAATGGCTCCTGCTACCAAAAACATCCCCTCTTCATCTCTAGTACTTTTGCTTCTAGGCTCAGCTAAGTCTCGTCTTTCCATATAGCCTTCTCTGTGTCCTAACCTTAGATAATTTTCCTTTTCCTTTTTCCTAAATGTTGGCAATAATGTTGTATGAGTCATCAGGATTCCTGAAGTACTGTTTCATAGAACCATCTTGATACTAAATAATGATATATAATATAAATAGAATGGATAATATAACATAAATATGTATTTAATCTAATAAAGATATTAATATAAAGATATATTCATATTACATACTAGTATAATTAACATAACCATATTATCTATACATACACACATTGTCCATATCACCAACTGGACCAAATAATCCCTAGAGATTGTTCTCTAAAGATGGAAAATGTACAACTGTTTGCTCCTACTGCTGAAGCCATAACTAAGAGCTCCAGCAACTTTAATTATAAAGCCTGTTTTGCTAGGTTGCTTGTGATTTACCTGAAAGATAAATTAACATTTTATACTGAAAGCAACAGTATTGATTAATCAATAAATATAAACAAGAAGCTAATTAAGAATCTGGTGCACTCTTACTAATGAGACTACAATGAAATGGAACTAGAAATATGGAATTATAAAAACTTCTGTCAGTTCACTTTAGCTCAAAAGAAAATCTCCTCTCATAAATAGATTCAATGATTTTTAGTTCTACAAAGGTACTGAATTGACTTCAATTTAGTCTTGCTTCAACATATAAACTAGTTTCTAAGTATACTATCATGAAGGATAATAATCTGATATTTATTGGTCTATACACCAAGATATGGTTTTATATTTCCTAAGATAAAATATGCATTAAAAAAAAAAAAAGATTTAGGCCGGGAGCAGTGGCTCACTCCTGTAATCCCAGCACTTTGGGAGGCCAAGGCAGGTGAATCACCTGAGGTCAGGAGTTTGAGACCAGCCTGGTTTCTCCATTTTTAATAGAGAAACCCCATCTGTATTAAAAATACAAAAAAAAAAAAAAAAAAATAGCTGGGCATGGTGGTAGGTGTCTGTAATCTCAGCTACTCAGGAGGCTGAGGTAGGAGAATTGCCTGAACCCGGAAGGTTGAGATTGCAGTGAATGAGATCGTGCCGCTGCACTCCAGCCTGGGAATAAGAGTGAAACTCCGCCTCAAAAAACAGGTTTAAAAAGCAGCTGCTAAAATCCAGTAATTTCTAGTTAGTCTAATTGTTCTTTTTTTTTTTTTCCTCTTCTAACAACATCCTTCAAAAGCTGTGGGAGATGGTGAGTTTGTGTGTACCAAAGGGAGAGATATGTTGCCTGCATTGTCTCCACCTTTTCTTTTCTTTTCTTTTCTTTTCTTTTCTTTTTTTTCCAGAGTCTTGCTCTGTCACCCAGTCTGGAGTACAGTGGCACGATCTCCGCTCTCTGCAACCTCTGCCTCCCAGGTTCAAGCAATTCTCCTGCCTCAGCCTCCCGAGTAGCTGCGACTACAGGCGCGCACCACCACCCCCAGCTAATTTTTGTATTTTTAGTAGAGACGGGTTTCACCATGTCCGCCAGGATGTCCCCAATCTCTTGACCTCATGACCCGCCTGCCGTGGCCTCTCTAAGTGCTGGGATTAATCATCAGCCTCATCAGTCCTTACAGCTCCTTTTCCATCTCCCTAATCACCAAAAGCCCAGAAATTAAACAGTAAACAATTCCCCAAAAGGTGCCTTCCTGGTACTGTCTAAAACAAATGCAATCTTCTGTGTGGGCATTTAAAACACCACAAGCATTCTTACTTAGATTAAATCATGGGTCTCCCTGGTCTCCAGGCATGCCTAGACATGAACCATGAAGGGAATGAGATCCTTGGAGTTTCTCTAGTAACTGCAGGCCAAATCAACAGCAGCCCTAAGAACAAGCATTCTCTCTTTTTTTTTTTTTTTTCAACAGAACTAGGCCACACACATTTTTTGTCGTTATTTAGATTTTTTACTTGAAGTACATAGAAAATAAAACTCATTTTTAAAATTATTTCAGTAGCCAATGCATCTTGATGACTTTTATATATGTTTTATTTTTTATTACTTTTGAAGAAAAGTCTGTAGAAACTTACTTTTCAAGGCATCTAATGCAACCATTGTCTTGGATGGCGGCAATCCATTTCAGGTAAGATATTTAAGATGCAACTAATAATCATAAAACATCAATTGGGAAGAAATATTCAATATAGTATTGGGTAAAAGTGACTAACAATTTGGTAGAACAGGATCGTTTTTATAACTATCTCCTAACCAAGATTTCTAAGTCTGCATATTGTTATTGGAATGTAGACTGTTTTGCTCCTACTTTTATATATGTATATTTAAGTGAATGTGAGTCATTTATGTAATGTGTGCTAAAATATTGTGCCCCTCCCAAAAATAAGATGAGTACAAAATACAGTTATTGTAGATGGCTTGTCTTTCACAATTTAGTTCTACAAGTTAATTTTTACAATTAACATTTTCTGTGCTATATATTTTATATTTTGGTTTCTTTCTCTTCACTTTGGTGTGTACAACACAAAGTATGCATTTGGGGGGAAAAGTGCCGTCTTTCATATGCAAAGAAAATGACATAACTTATTTAAATATCCTTGGGCAGTTCTTTGTTTTAATAGTGTGAGTTTGGAGTTTGTATTGAATGAGCCAGATGACCTGCCCATGTTCATGTTACTAGTGGCATCTAAGAGTCCATGTGCTGGTTTTAGGGAATCGATTTATAGCTGTGAAGTTTTCTTTTGTGGAAACTAATTTAGAACTAAGCCTTTGGTGTCAGCAGTGAGTGCTCTATATTGGATACATGAAAACCATATTTCTAGGGGAGGCTGCTTCCAGCTGAATTTCAAGGTGAGGATAAAGAGAACATTCCTTATCCTCTCCCGATTCATTCATTAAAGGCAAAGAGGGAGGGAGTAATTAAAGGAAAGTTACTAACAGAGATCTCCCAGGAGTCCTCTGTCACTGTCCCTTTTAGCAAACTGCCACAAAACAAAACATTGTCTGGCATTGACAGCCCTAACCCTGAATATCCAAATGTACTCTTGCATCAAGGATCTACTCAAGTCTCACCTTCTCTCGGAACCTTCTTTGACCTATTACAGCTCTCATTGAGGGCCTCTCTTCTATTTCTATCATTATCTAGTTTAGTAATTTATAATATATATGCTGTCTTGAATGGTAAGGTCTTGATCTCAAGAGGACCACGATTTGATGTAACTAACAAGCTGCCTGGCTCACTATTTGACTAGAAGGCCCTTCACATCACTGCATGGCCCTCTGAGAGTATAAAGGCAAGTCCCCAACACAGCACAAGGCTGCAGATAAGACTTTCAAAGGTATCTTCCCACAATGTCAGAGGCTACCCAAGCCCGCCTTCATTTAGAAAATTCAACCTATGATTTAAGGTACCTGGGAAGCCGCTTTCCCAGGGCAGAATGGGCACGGAAACTGGGTGGGCTGATGGGCTTCTTGGGGAATGAGGGAGTGGAGAAGGAGCTCTTTGCCCCTCCTGCTAGATCAGAAAGAGAAACGTCTTAAGAATCTGGGCCTCCATCTTCTAGGCGTCTTCCTGGAGGCCATTCAGGGACCGCCCACAGCCCCTTCTCGCAGCCTCCTCCCCCCCACCCCTCCCCCCGCCCCGTCTCGCGCCCGCCCCGCCCTCGGCCCACGGGGTTCCAAGGGCGGTTGGCCGCCCCCGCCACGGCCACTCGGCCGCTCGGAGCTGCAGGGCGCACGGGGTCTAGAGAGCCGGCTCTAGGGGTTCGGGCTGGGAACTGAAGCGGGGCGTGGGGGAAGTGGGAGCGCAGGTGGAGGAGGCAAAGGGGAAAGGAAAAGCGAGGGGAACCTGAGCGGGAGGACCCAGAGAGGTGCGGGAGGCTGCGGGAAGGGGAGACCCGGTACTCCCGGGAGTCACCCGGGTCGGGGCGCGGCCCTGGAGGGCGCGGGTCTTCCCCCGCAGCGCCGCCCGCTGGCCGGGCTACGCGTGCTTGAGCGGCGAGGCCAGCGGGGATCCTGATGGGCCCGGGGGGCGTCCTTGGGGGCCTCTCTCCCTGGGCCTTGCGCCCAGCCACTGGCGGGCGTCGCCCCGGGTGAAATGGGGTCCGAGGAGGGCCCCGACCGTGCGACCCCGCGTCGGCGCTGCGGACCGTCCGGGAGCTGCAGCCGCGGGCGCTCGGTGCTCGGTTTGCAGGCAGTGTCGTTAGCTGATTGTACTGTGGTGGTTACAATCACTAACTCCACTGCCATCAAAACAAGGCACAGCATCACCGCCGCCCGCGGGGAGGAGGACGCCGGCTCTGGCCGCCCGCAGCCTTCGAGAGAAGGTGCCTGAAAAGCGCGGCGTCGGCGTGGGTCCCGCGCAGGCCTGCTCCGCGAGCGCGCACTCCAAGTGCGAGGAAACCCGCGGTTTCTTCAGATACAGTTAAACTGTTAGCTCTCTCTAGGAGTTACAGAAGATGGAACAGTCTCATGCCAGGAAAGTGAAATCCCTGGAGGAGAAGCCCCTCCACCCATGTAACGGTTAATACTGTATGCTGTGATTCACTATGTCTGTTTGCCATTATCTAGTATTTACCAAGCCAGCAACTCAGTGGAGCTCCAACTCAACCAATGAATTGCCTGTTACAACGTGTGGGGGTACCAACTTGCGACTGCAATTTTTTTTCATGAGTCTAGTTACTAGGCAGTGTAGTTAGCTGATTGCTAATAGTACCAATCACTAACCACACGGCCAGGTAAAAAGATTTGGGAATTCATCCAAATGAGCTGCCTGTACATCATCCATGTGCTTGGGGAAGAAGGATGTTGGAGAATGCTGATTTCATCCATTATCAATTGCTCAGCCAAGAGGGGAAAAAAAAAACACAACATTTTAGCTACTAAGTATACGATGTATGTAATGTGTATGTATGTGAGTTGTTTCTGTTTTTTGTCAATATTCCTTCAGGCTCTTAACCAAAATTTTAGACATAACGGGGAATAGGATTTTTTTCTTAGTTGATTGATGTAATTATATGAACATGTGATTATTAACTGAGACTATATTGTTATATTTTTGAGACTATTTTGAAAGAATAAAATACCGTAAAGACATCAATTGTGGTTATCACCATGTGTCCGTTTGCTTTGCTAAACTGCCTTTATGTTGTCCATCTCAGTTTCTGCCACAGCAATTTTAACTTATCAGTGAAGTGGTTAGGTTGTTCCTGCCTTAACAAAAAATCTTCCGGGAAAGCTATTCACACACACACACTTGTTAATACTTTTATAAGAATACACTAACAAAATTTTTCATACTTTATTTTTCCGTGAAGCGACTGTCCACTCATTAAGACATATCCCTTCTTTAATCATTTACGACTGCCGCAGTCTAGGCAACTTCTAATGGGAGTGATTAGTCAATGCAGTTACACTTTTAAAATTCCAGCTTATTTCCTAAGATTTGTCTTAAAGGTTTCAGAATTTTTAAATCACAGAAACTATACGCATGGGCATGTATCTACCCAGTTCAAGCCTCTAGCTCCAACGGCTAGGCTTTCAGCCCGCCATGAATTCTCCAAGCAACGTTCTCAGAAATTCCACCTAGCAGGTGCTGTGCCTGGCAATCTGGTTTGGAAAGGGGCATTTGGTTGACGGGGCTGAAGAATCTGAAGTTTATTTACCTATCTCTGGGGGAAGGGGAGAGGATGTGGCATGCCGACTGAGGATATAAGAAGCTAAAGTACTCCCCCACTGACTCCGACAAGACAGGACACATCCCAAAGTTGTTTTGACTCTCCCATACCGTCTCCAAGGTTTGGACTGGTCCCGAAACCTGATCACCGCAGGGGTGGGCTTTCTGATGGCCCCACGCGCGTGGCGGACACCAACACCTGCCTATAGGAAATCGAGGGCTGCGGGCAGTGGCCGGTGTCAAATTGGCGCTTCTGGGAGGGGCGGGGCGGGGGAGGGGCGAGGACGCTTGGAGAAGCGTCCTCAGTTGCCATGGAAACGGGACCTGGTGAAGAACCTAGCGGCCAAAAGGAGTCCCAGGAAATCTGCTCCCCGGGATTACTGGTATTTGCCGGCTCCTCAGAACAAGATGCCAACTTGGCTAAGCAGTTCTGGATCTCGGCATCGATGTATCCCCCTAGCGAATCTCAGCTGATGCTGCGCAGAGACAGCAGTCAGCGTCTGCCGGTGGCCAGGCCCCGGAGGAGCAGAGTGTCTGGTGAGTACAGCAGCGGCCTCCTGTCTTACCTGCCTCCACCGTAACCCGCCTGCAGGATACCAGAGCCCCTTCCAGGAGAAACTGCAATGGTATATACAAATAGTCATAGTTACATACAAATACATTTATAAATAGTTCCCGAACCTTCCCAGCAATTCTTCCACCCGAAAAGGATAAGTGGTATATTTGTTACATCTAAAGACACGTAAGTTTCCCTTAAATTATGGTATCTATTTGTAAACAATATAGAATAATCTGAGGAAATGGTATTTGTTGGCTGAAAGAATAGTTTACACAACTGAATTCAAACACGAAAAGCCCTGGAGAAAGATAAAGGTGGAGTCAACATTATCAACAAACTTTCTGGACGTGTGAGCCCTTAGTGAGGCCTAGGCTATGGAAACTGTTATGCAATCATCACAGGTATAAAAAATTCAAAAATCTTTAATGTTGTGGTCTTTTCCAATGATTTCTTTACTTTCTTTCTTTTTTTTTTTTTAGAGAAAAGTCACTCCTCACAATCTTTTCACCTTGCGAATAACAGTAAGTATCAAGTTTTATGCCTTTCAACATTCTGACTCCTTGGTTCATCAGAAAATAGACAATAAGTACAAGGGTACTACTTTACACTGTGGCATAACTTTCTGAATGGCACACTTAAGTCCCTGCTCAGGGACCACTCTGTTTATCCAGACAACAATGCCTAAATTCCTTTAACAGTATGAACAGGAATGTAGAAATTGGAATCTCTGATCCTGCAGATATGTTCTCAAGATCTTTTCTTGTCTTTGGACTTGAGCTTACTCATCATCGAAAGGATTAGATGTCCCTGCAGCCATAGCTAATTCAGTCTCCAACTATTTGCAAATCTCATTTACAAAGTTTCAAGACACCACATGTATTTTTGTTTGCCTTCCTACTCTATGTATTCCCTTTCAACCCATATCCAATTTTATGTCAATTTTAATGTAAATTCATGATTAAATCATTTCAGATTGAATTTTACTTTATTCCCTAGAAAATAGAGACATCTTTGCCGAAGCCCTAAAGCTTCAGGAATCTGAGGAGAAAGTAAAGTATCTCCAAAAGGTATGCCAATATTTCAGAAGGTCATCTGATTGTCATTGTTTCTAAATAACCTTGATTTTTTAAACACATGTATATAAAAAAATCTGCTACTTCTAATGCATTAGCTTGAGCAAATTAAGGAAAACCTTAATTAGAATTTTAATTGAAAATTAAGAAGTTCTGTTCAACTTTGGCTAGTGTCAATCTCAGCAAAAGTCCAGGAATATACAGGAACAACAGAACCAGAGAGAAATGGAAATAGGTAGAGTCACATACTTTCCATCCAGTAAGATGCCCAACTTTATACAGCATTCTAAGAACAGAAATGGCATAAGAGGCTAGGTGCAGTGGCTCACACCTACAATTCCAGTGCTTTGGGAAGCCAAGGCAGGAGGATCCCTTTGAGGCCAGGAATTCAAGACGAGCCTGGTCTACATAGTAAAACCTCTATCTCTACAAAAAAATTTTTTAATTTTCCAGCCCTGCTGGTACATACCTGTAGTCGAAGCTACTTGGGAGACTGAGGAAGAAAGATCGTTTGGGTCCAGAAATTTGAAGCTGCAGTGAGCTATGATCTCACCACTGCACTCTAGCCTGGGCAGCAGAGTGAAACACTGTTAAAAATAAATAAATAAATAAAAAGAACAGGAAAAATAAAATAGAATCGATGGTCTTAATAGGTCAAAATTAAATGATCAGAAGAATGAGTCTGTCATCTAGACCTGTTTTGACTAAAGGCCGAAATTAAACACATTGGTGTGTCAAATCAGCTGAGCACACATCTCTTTTTGGCAACATCCTTTGTTTGCTTTTCATGATACAAGCATAGCCTTTAACTCAGCAATTAATACAGTGATTTATAGAAACATTTTATTTGATTAATGGATAAATTATATTCCTGTTAACTTTTCTTATACTGTAAAAGCAAAGATAGAGAATTCTTTTGGGCCTAATATCTTTAATCATTGGACATATTGGCAAACTCTGAGTTATCAGGAATTCTACATAAATTGCAGAACAATGCATTTGAGTTTGTTGATCACATTAATTCACTTTGTGGAATACTGATGATTCCCTCAAACAAATTAGGTAATTAGAAACAGTCAGCATTTTCTTCTCTCTTTAGAATATTATGTACTGTATATTTATATCCAGACTTTATAGGGAGGGGAAAGGCCTAATTTTCAGTGAATTAAAAATCATTAAAAGTCAACTTCAGTACTTTTGGAGTTTAATTTTCATTTTATTTCATTTTAGGAAAGGATTAGAAATAAAAGGTTAAAGACAAACTATTATCCATTTTTATCAGCTTTTGTCAAAAAATAAGACAATATGATGTGAATTAGCAGTGGAGAGGCTATGCTAATGGATACTAGGCTAATAATCCTAGAACTGGTTTCCTTGCCTTGGCTCCTTCTGTGAACTTACATTAATTACTCAATTCCACAAATATTTATTGAGAACCTGCAAGTACTGTACTAGCTGCTGGGGATTTAAAGATAAAATGTGGTCCCTGATCTCAAGGAGTTTACAATCCAGTGGAGGAAACACCCAATTAAAGTTAATAATTATGGCATATTATAACATCATCATAGATGTATGCATATAATATTATGAGACACATTCAGGGACATCAAAATCAAGTGTAACAAATAAAGAAACTTTCTGAAAGGTGCTGGGTTTTGAAGGATTTGAAGAATGTGCACAGCAAGCCCTCACAGCATATTAATTGTCTTCCTAAAATACAAATATGATTATGCTAGCCCTCCTACCTTTTTTTGCCGCATGGCTGCCCATTTCCTATTACAAGATCAAGGCCAAACTCCTTAGCATGTTTAAATTCCTTTCCAATACAACCCTAACCTGTCCTCTCCCACGACTCTCCCCACTTCTGCCTATGCTCTCAGCCCAACTCTGTATGGTTGGATCTCAAGCATGTAGCCCAAGGAACACTCTTTACTCCTTTACATATATGCTTGCAAAGTGATGAACAGGAAAAGTATATTTTTGTTACACCTAAACTTGCACAGTATCTGCCAGGTTGTACCTTAAGCCTAATGGCCATGAATTGCAATATAGAAGATGATTCCATTTGTTGAGAGTAGAAGACAAAAGAGGCCTAACAAAACTGTAAGGCATTGGGGAAGAAAGTTACTGAAACTGTGCCTTCGTAGTATATAGGGAAATTTTGTCAGTACTATCTAATACAGTTCAATTCTAAAAATGCCAAAGTACAAAAGGGCAACCAAGAGAATCCTGCAATAACGAATGCTCTCATAGATATCCTGAGATAATATAATGTGATATTCATAACAACTAATTATTAAATGTATATTAGGTACTATACACTAAACTAAGCAACTGACATACATCAATGCATATGCTCCTCAAAATAGTCCATTATGATTATCACCATGTGGCCAAACAAGGCCTAAATGATTTTCCAATGTCCCCACAACTGGTAAGTGGCAGAGAAGATTCAAAGCCTGGAATCTTAACTCCAAAGTCCATGAAATTCATCCCATAATAGACTCATTGTATTATAATGATTGCTGACGATGGCATGGTTCAGGTATGCTGCCAAATATTCTAAAACACAAAGCTATGGTATGAATACAAATGTGAGAAACACTGTTTCCAGCCCTGGAACTATAAGCTGGTTCTTCATTCTGCAGTGCACTTTCATGTATCTACCTGAAATGCTCTTCCCTATTTACCTTCAAGGCCAGCTTCTGTGAAGCCTTCTCAGGGGTTACCCAGAGCCTAGCAGAATGAATAGATCTCTTCTCTGTGCTCCCATGGCAAGTCACATATCCTCTTTCATAGTATTTGTGGTTTCTGATCTGTATTGTAGATAATTGTGTATGTTTCTCTCTTTCCTGCTAGATTATAGGCACCATAGCGTAGTAGATTTTGGAGACCACAAGATAGGTTTGGAAGCCTAACTCTGCCTCTTACTATTTGTGTCACTTTGAGCAATTGATTTAACTCCTGGGATGCTCAGCTTCCTCACGTATAAAAGGTGAAATGATATTTTAAAAAATATCCACCTCATAGAGTTGATGTAAGTAAGGTATACGAAGCTCCTGGCCACAGTTTACCAACAACAAACGACCTCTATAAGGTCAGGGGTCATGTCTTATTTGCTTAACCTAGTGCCTTTTTGGTTATAAAACTCAACAAATCTTTGTTAATTGAATAAATGAATGCATAATTAAATGAATTAAAGAGCAAATGAATCCCCTATGTATCGATATTTCAATTTTGTTTAGCCTTTTTCACATAGACTCATCTGGCAAATTTTTCTGGGCTGATAATCTTTGCAAGAATACTCCCAAAATCTAATCTGTTAGCACATCACCTCTCTTCTTAGTTTTGCTTTATCTCATGGGTTATGGATATAATGGGAGGAAACGTAACTTCCTGTAATTATTGAAGCAGAATTGGTTTTGGATACCACTTTTTTTCTAAGTCCATAATACTGTCTCTGCATTGCCGCCGCCACTGACATTGCCACCACCGTTCTAGAATTTTAAGCTTGATATTAGAAAATAGATGGGGGGAGGGTATCTTCTAAACTAAGAAAACATTTACAATGATTTATTTAAGGGAATCTTCTACATGTTTTGAACATATACATGTTAAATATATATGTTTTTAACATGTTGATAAGTAAATTCCACGTATAACTTTCATCTTAAATTGGGAAAAACATCACCCATAAATTCTCTTTAAGGTTTCTTCCACTTTCTCCTTAAAATTAATGAAAATATAGAAGTTAATTGTCATCTCTCCTGAAAGCTGCCTTTATAACCCTCTCTCCCCAACAGAAACTGATTTTTCAGTTGTTAGTTTTTTACACTTTAATATTATTCTCCATTTTGAAATATTTTCCAGGTACACGTTATAACAAATGCTTTTGGTTAGTGGTCAAAATGCTATTAATGACAACTATTATTTCTGTGATGGATATCCATGGCAGGAAATCAAAAACAATTGAGTCTGTCAAGATT